ATTAGACCACTGCTACGTGGTAGCCAGGCTTTTTTGTGTGTTTGCTAGGATGACCTATGTGGTTGTCAGCGCATATATTTATTTATTTATTTATTTTTTCCAGACACTTTTATCCAAAGCGAATTACAAATGAGGACAAGGAAGCAATTTACACAACTATAAGAGCAACAATGAATAAGTGCTATAGGCAAGTTTCAGGTCTGTAAAGTCAAAGAAGGAAAGCATTAGTAAATTTAATTTAATTTTAATTTTTTTTTTTTTTTGAGCACAGTTAGTGTGATATCCAGAGAGGCAATTGCAGATTAGCTAAGTGGAGACCAAATAGTTGAGTTTTTAGTCGTTTCTTGAAAACAGCGAATGACTCTGCCGTTCTGATGCAGTTAGGGAGTTCATTCCAACAACTGGGCAGATTGAACGTGAGCGTTCGGGAAAGTGATTTCTTCCCTCTTTGGGATGGAACCACGAGGCGACGTTCATTCACAGAACGCAAGTTTCTTATATTTCTTAACCTGCATATCTATGTAATTGGCAGGTTGCTGTATCATGGTTGTTTAAACATTGCTATGCGGTTTACTAGAGTTTTGTGGGTAGCTTTTCAATGCATCTCTCTGTTGTTACTGTGCAGTTCATACAGGGTTTTATTGTCCACTAGCCAAAGAAAAACTAAATAAGAATGTTAGTTCAAAATAAACGCACATGTTAAAATCAAGAAACCACATGATCTGAGCAATCTTTCATGTCCATAGCAAAGCAATAAAAATGTGAGACTTAGGGGGTTGGGGGTATCAAATCCCTTCCCCTACCCATGAGCAAGAGTAACCATTAGCTGTTTTAAAAACGAACAGGGTCACAAGGACATGCGAAGAAGTAGAACTGGTGCAACAAGTTAAGTGCATCACATTCATTTTCAATTGAAGCTAAATGATACACTTCCTAGTCATAAAGCATCTCTGATTACAGAACACGTGTATATGATTTCATGAAGAGCGCAATGTTGTTTTTTTTGTTCTCATCTGGCATTCTGTCACTCTTGACATGTGTCCAGGTTTTGGCTGTGCTGTTCACAAATAACATCGCTGTCTCTCTGCCAAATGAGGCCGATCGAGCTGCAACCGCGACATCAGCTCCCCAGACACAGTCTTTCTCTACAGTGATCATCTTGTCTCTCTTTCCGCTGACCTTCTCTACTTCACATCCCTGTCTCAAATCACCTCGCCTCCTTAATCATTTCTTTTCTCTTTGCTGTCATTATTTGGTTTCTTTTCTTATCAGCGTCTCCTCTCACCTTTTTTTACCTTCTGAAATGCTCTTTTTCCTTTTCTTATCCCTTAAGCTTTTGATCATACTTCATTCTTTCCTAAGAAAAAACCCCAAAACTTATATTCCTGTCTTTAAGGGATAGTTCACCCCAAAATTTTGGAAAATTCTATCAATACCTACTGACCCACAGATCATCCCTATCCACTAAAATCTTTGTATATCTTCAGAATGCAACTAAAGATTTTCTGGATGCATGTGTGGTGCAAAAACAACACTGCACATCACCTAAGAAACTCCATGCCCACAGTGAAGCGTGGTGGTGGCAGCATTACGCTTTGGAGTTGCTTTTCTTCAGCTGAAGCTGGGGTCTTAGTAAAGGTGGACTAGAAGAAAACCTATATGAACTTGATCTTTTAGCATGATAACTATCCAAAGCACACATCCAAATCAACAACGGAATGTCCTCACCTGAAGAAAATGTATATATATATATATATATATATATATATATATATATATATATATATATTTTTGGAATGGCCCAGCCAGACCCCAGACCTAAGTCCTATTGAAAATCTGTGAGGTTATCTGAAGAGGGCTGTGCACAAAAGATGTTCTCATGCTGTTCCAATCCAATAAAATCTTTATTCATCTTTAGAATACAACTGAAGATATTCTGGATTAAATCTAAGAGCTCCCCGATAAACAGCAATAGTACCAACTTGTTCCAAGTCCAAGCTTCTTCAGTGGTTTAATCAGAATATTATAAAGCTGTGTGCAAATAAAACAAAAACACCACATTTATTCAACAGTTTGTTCTCCTTGGTATAGGGTGCACATTCATATGTTCTGTGCATGGATGTACAGTGGATATAAAAAAATCTACACACCCTTGTTAAAGTGCAAGGTTTATGTGTTGCAAAAAAATGAAACATCCCTCTGTAAATCACTCCAATATTAGTGAAAAGACAAAAAGAAAACGTATCAAGGAGGCTTCCAAGAGGCCTACAGCAACGTTAAAAGAGTTGCAGTAATTTCTGGCAAATACTGGCTGTGTAATACATGTGACAACAATCTCCCGTATTTTTCACATGTCTGGGCTATGGGGAAGAGTAGCAAGGCGGAAGCCTTTTCTTACAAAGAATATCTAGGCCCAGTTAAATTCTCCCAAGAACATGTGGAACAATGTGTTATGGTGTGATGAAAGCAAAGTTGAACTTTTTGGTCAGAATCTCAAAGGGTATGTTTAGCACAAAAACAACACTGCACATCACCAAAGAAACTACATACCCACATTGAAGCATGGTGGTGGCAGCATCATGCTTTTTGTCAGCTGAAGCTGGGGTCTTAGTGAAGGTGGAGTATTAAATTTAAGACCTATATCACAATATCAAAAACATGCATACACATGAAAAGAAAATGCAAAAAAAAACTGAAAATTAGTGTGTATAAACAAATATTAATGTATTCAAATTGAACAGTACTGACTACAGGTTAGATGCATCATTGAACTACAGGAAAAAACAAACATCTCAAGGCTGATGTATACTATTTATGTATTGCACACCTCCGCTGACTGCGCGCGCACCTTAAATGGATGACGCTTTTTAAAACAGCAGGTCAAAGGAAAGCCACCGTAAAGTCTGACGGATAAAGAGAAGTAGGAAGTTTCCGGAACTACGTCATACCATTAATATCATTCAAGATTTTTAAACTTATTGTTTTTTATAATTTATTATATATTTTTTTATAATCATTCAAGACATTTAAATCAAACTTTGATGCATCACTTGCTTTTGTTCATATCTGAGACATTTTAACTTATTAAAGTTATATATTAATGACTACAGAACATGGGTTACTCTACAATTATATATTTTTTATTATGGAAAGAACAAAAGCAAGTACACTTGCTAAAAAAACACTGACGTTTTTTTTTTATATTGCCAATTCAGCAATTCACACATTGCTGGCTGGTTAATTTCGGTCCTCTATAAGCTAAAAGGGCAATAATGGTCCAACATTTCTGACCATTATCAACAATAAAGCCTAGAAAAACAGGACATCAGAATATTGTAAACCGATAGGTTCAAATATTCCTCTCCATTTATCAACTTTTGCCAAGGCCTTTCTTTTTGGCTTTACTAAAATTCTCCCTCAACTTTTTAACAAAAATTTTCTTCTTTTCCCACTACTGTTGCAATTTCTATCCAAGAATTAGTGTTCATCTGGTTCTCTCTATGATCACGCATGAACAGATCATAAAGGTGTCAATACAGTTTCACTCAAGTCTAAAAAAATTTTTGAGCTGAAATCATGTCACATGTACCCAAAACAAACACAGAGATGATGTCATATTTGCCGCGCTCACTAAGTTCAATAACAGAAAGCTGATTGGATATTGCATGTTGGTCTCATTTGTAGTTGTAATATCGCAAACTACATTTTGATTTGTGAAATAAAGAACTACAAAACCACGAAACCCAAGCAACAACAACAACAAAAAATTGAAATGATCATTAGATGTAGCGTTACATGGACATCGGGAAAAAAAGACCAGTGCAAAAAACATTTATGACCTAGAACAGCGGATTTAAGACCTTTTAAGGCCTAAAATTTAGTTTTTTAAATTTGAGACTTTTTAAGACCCCGCGGAAACCCTGAGTAAACATCCCTAACAACGAAAATGCATCAATGCGAGCTGAATGTTGAGCTGCTTGTTTGTTGGTGTCTAAGCACAAAGGAAAGCATCCAATATCAGTGTCTTGCCACAAAAATCATTTCTTCACTAGAGCTGCTACTTAAACTATGCATGTTCACTCTGCTCACAGCTAAAAATGTGCTGAAATCAATTCTGGATGCACAAGGCTGAAAACTGAAATGCTTTGTAATAATTGTATTAAGCAAAATAAAGTAACTTTGTAAGACCTTTTAAATTGAACTCAAAAAATAATAAAACAGTAAAATAAACACATTTTATTGCCAATAAAAAAATGTAAATTAAGGTGTAATTAAAGGTGTAATTTTACCAGCATATTCATGACAGCTCAGCAGCTCTATTTCAAGCAGCAGAAACAAGTATACAACATAGAAATAACCTGTATGATTTACTTGAGAGAACTTCACTTTTTCGGCGAGCATGCATTTTACATGCATAGCTAAGTGTACATGAGCACAAGCCATTGAAATGAATAGGTTTTGTTTTCATTTTACATTCAGCGTAAAAGCCACTTCAGATTGTGCAGTGAGTACGGCTGGAGGAAAAGTGAAACCAGCATACTGAAGCACATATTTTTAAGTTTTTCTCTCTTTGGTTAAACGCCAAAAATGATTGGTTGAATGAAGCATTTTTAGCTGATAATTTTCAGCAGCCGAAAATTTGGTTCTTCTCTACTTATTGCAGTGAAAATCTCTTAAGTGTGAAAAATGCCTCAAAAATGCTGATGATAAGCACAAATTATAATGGCCCCGTTGTTAATGAACATTTAGGAAAAAAATTGACAGCATAAAGGAATTCACATGGGACATATTTTTTGCTCACATACAGAGAGATAAACATATAGAAAAACTTTTAATGAAACTCTTATTGTGCAAGATACTATACTAAAAATTCAGATACAACGCAACGACCAAAGATTAAATATTTAAACAGTGTTGCAAACATTCTGTATTGACACCCACTAAAAGGTCAAGAAGCATTTCACCTCATGAATTCCTTATGGGTGGTAGCCATCATTTACCTTTTTTCATTGCCGTATGATTTCTGTGCAACTTTAGCGTGTAGGATGAGCACAGTTTGGTCTCCTCGTTCCTTCAGGTAATTTCGCATGGCTTCTCTGGAAAATAGCAGAAAGAAAGGAAACACATAAGACAGTAAACATAACAGTGTGATGGGAATTTTAAGAAATCATGTTGCCAAACACATAAAAACATCTTTTTTTTTTTGGAAAGTTTTACCAGAACAAACTAGAACAATCACCTCATCAAGCAGTGTGAGATTACATAAGAGTATTCACACATAGTGTTTGGCAATAGCGCTTTACTGTAACGCCATTACTTTTGACAGTAACTTATACTGTAATGCATTACTTTTAAACATAGTAACTTCGTTATTGTTACAATGTGATGGATTTGTCTGTTACTTAGTAAGTTAATTAATTTTGGCTGCAGTCTAGCCCAGGGGTAGCCCGCGACCCCCCAAAATAACAATGCCAGTGACTCACGACCCTGAATATCCTCTGAGGTGGTTATAAATACAGAAACATTGCATATAAAAGTGCACACACAACAGCAGGCCCAAGTATATTCTTCTTTTAATTTTTATTAAATGTATATAAGTGCTGTAAATGTGCCAGAAAGTTTCAAATCAATCTGCTGCATCTGATGTTGTGTCTTTAATGTAATGTAATCACCCCAAGGGTCGCAATCTAATAGAACTAGTAACTATAAGCTACTATAGTAACTGTATAGTATATAGTAACTTATAAATTATTATATTTATCTTCAGTAGGTTATTGATTAAATATGGTAATTCTACTGGTTTAATAAAATAAATGAGATTTTTGGAAATTACAAAGCACCCCCCTTCATTGTCCAGAGACCCCACGGGGGGTTGCTGTTTACATGGGTGGCGCATTGTGGGGTTGGTGGATGCCAATCAACCACCGTAAAGAAGACGCGTGGTATACGAGGCGCCAGACTAAACAAAAGTCAAGCGAAAACAGAGGGACTGGGTGCCCGCGAGGAGGCCAAGTGTGCGTACGCTAGAGACCGAATGTATGTGAGGTTAGCCAAGAGTGCGCTCCAGGGAGACCAAGAGATTATTGATGTTAATGTTATTAATTACTATTACTAATACTGCTATGCTTGTTGTTTCAAATAAATAAGCACACATTTGTTATCTGTATAACTAAATTTTTAGTTTAGTAGACACTAGGGATGCAACGGTTCAAAAGATAAAAAATCGTATCGTCCCACTATCCTCCGACGATTCGGTGCGCCCTGTAATCCGCTGTTCAGAATATGCATTATTATTATTGGTTTGGTCTTAAAAACAACTGCAACAAAGCAAAAAAGTTCCACCTTTGTCACCTCCTAGCATGTTAACCTGTTGTTGACATTGTTTCCTGAAGTGTCGGTGTGTGCGGTTTCTCAGCATGGCATGTGACTGAGATACAGAGCCAAAGCACAGGTGAGACCAAACCACACCACATCGCTCTCAGTGTTTCAACAGACATTCAATGTAAACTTATACAGACCAAAAAAAAATAAAAAATGCAGATTTTTTTTTCCCTTTTTTTGTTGCAAAGATCAATGGTCACTACCAGACAGCTCGAGGTCCATGTCCAGACCCAGAAGTGTCCCATACGGACCCGGACATACATCAAGTTTGTTACTTCAGCCCCACTCCCAATATTTATTCAATCTATTTACCTGCTGTCTACTTAAATATATATTTTTTTCTCGACTGACTGTTCCCGCTGAATTAAGACGAGAGGAAGAGCCAAACACTCTCTCTGCTTAAGTTTCATTCATGGTAATGAAAAGTGATAATGTGTTGTTGCCTTTAATTAATTTATTTATAATTATTATTATTTTGTGCTGCTGGTCTGACTTAAACAATTTATTGTTTAAAAAAATACTGTTTAATTCTGTCTTGTGTTTTAGTTGGCAGAATGCAAATCAATTACAACTGTGAAGCTGATTAACAGTGTATTTTCCATGCAGCACTAAAGTGGCGTTATAATGGGCATTAATGGGCGCATTAAAAATGCTCTTTGGAAAAGTCAATAATTACTTTAACAGTAATACATTACTTTTGGTATAAGTAATCGATAAAGTAATTGATTTACTTTTGAATGAAGTAACTACCTGTAACTTGTATCTGTATTTTTCAGTATCTAGCACAACACTGCACATAAATGTATTAGGAGGAATTACGACACTCGATAACACAATATTACTCATTAGATGAGACAATCATCTTCATGTTTACTCAAGAAAAGCTTATACAATAGCTAGACTTGCATTTCCCCCTCTTTTAGTGCAAATTTAGGCAGCACTGTACATCATCCCAGATGTCAGATTCTAGATATGAAGTGGTATTCATATGTTCAGATGAACAGTTTTTGCTCTTTCCCTTTTCAAGTAGATAAAAGCTGTACTTGGATATTATGGCTGCCAAGTGACCTGACTTGGCTGCAAGTGACTCTGGTATAACATTATCATAGATAAAACAAAAATCCATTACTGAAGCAGGCAAGATTACATTTCTGATAAGCATTTCATAAAACAGCAACTCGCTTTCACTCCAATGACAGAGTGTACAGTTTTTTAAAAACGCGTCCTTGTGCTTTAAAAGTGCTATTGTTGAAGGTTCTGGTGAAAGCATGTGTGTATGTGTTTCTTTAAAGAGAAAGCTTTCTGAAGTACTGTAAGCGCTTCAAAAGCCAAATCTCCAGAGCTTGACTAGAAACACAGGCCCAAGTTTGATTAGCCAATTCTCTGGTGAGTGCAACTATGTGTTGCTTGCAGAAAGCATACAAACACTGTGGCCAAAAACCTCAGCTTTTCCAGCTGGGGGTCTTTAAAATAAAAAGAAAGGGAAGAGGGGGGTAAGAAAAAGGGCAAAAGGACAGCAATGTGTGTGTGTGTGTGTGTACAAGTCAAACGGCACAAGATCTATTAGCTCATAATCAAAGAATTTCCATTTCGTGTCAGTGCTCCAATTACCTCAGTAAACTAACCAAAAACATCCCAGCATGTGCAAACTTAAATTAGCTTGCTAAATGTGGACGCTTTGGAAGTGCGATGCTTTTCAAGGAAACTTGAACAAAAAACAAATCATTTCAAGGTTGTTGTTTTTTTATTGTGATAAAATACAGAATCCTAAGCAGATATATAGTATATGAAGATGAAATCTGACGTGTAACAGACTGCAGATGTTGGATAAAACACACATACACACAGATTAAAATGGCCCATTTGCACAGATGTCAGTGACACCTGACACGTCAAAATGCTCAGAGGGACACCGAGACGGGGTAATTGTAGGGGGCAGCTTGCTTACACACACACAAAGCAGCTTCTCTTTACCACACAAATGTCTCGCACACGCTTAAGTTTTAGACAGACTTTTGTTATGGAAAGCCATGGGGCCCTGCGACATGAGGGTAGGAGGGGAAGTATGAGAGACGAGAGGTGAAAGGGTTGCACTCTTGACAATAATCCTCCTGCAAGACCACAGACAGATCCGCTACAATCATGCAGCAAAAGGAGGAATCATGTTTAAAGGAAAAAGCTGTTTTGCAAAACTGTCATAACCATGTACCCAGCAGCAAATCTGTTCACCCACATCGACTTCAAACAAATACCACAAATCTGGATGTTGACAGTGAAATGTGACTCAGGAAGGCTTTATGTTGCACCATGGGTTTATGTACAGTTGAAGTAGAATTATTAGCCCAAATATCTGGAAATATATTTCAAATATTTCACAAATGATGTTTAACAGAGCAAGGAAATGTTCACAGTATGTCTGATAATATTTTTTTCTTCTGGAAAAAAATCTTATTTGTTTTATTTCAGCTAAAATAAAAGCAGTTTTTAATGTGTTTAAACACCATTTTTAGGTTAATATTATTAGCCCCTTTAGGCTATATTTTCTTCGATTGTCTTTAGAACAAACCATTGTTATACAATAACTTGCCTAAATACTAGGGTTGCCATTATATCGGCAGCCATATCGTTATAGGTTGATAAATGCTATTTTTAATGTTATTGTTATTGATACAATATCAAAATTAGATTATCAATATAATCACCTTGCAGTTTTTAAATTATTGCTCCTTTCTGCTTTGAGTAGGCTACTCTAATATCAGTTCATGAAGTTTTTAAATAAAATCATTTGTTCACTGTATAAAAATATAACATTTTGAAAAATTTATCAGCTTATATATCAGTTATCGGCCTCCAACTCTAAAAAGTTATCAGTTATCGATATCAGCCCAAAATTACCCTAACCTGTCTAGTTAACCTAATTAACCTAGATAATCCTTTAAATGTAACTTTACGCTGTATAGAAGTGTCTTGAAAAATATCTAGTTAAATATTATGTTCTGTCATGATGGCAAAGATAAATAAATCAGTTATTAGAAATGAGTTATTAAAACTGTTATGTTTAGGAATGTGTTGAAAAAAAATATCGCTCCATTCAACAGAAGTAGAGAAAAAAAAAAATTAATAAACTGGGGGGCTAATAATTCTGACTTCAACTATGTGTGTGTGTGTGTGTGTGTGTGTGTGTGTGTGTGTGTGCGTGTGTGTGTGGGGGGAGGGGGGTAATTAGTCCAGTTATTGTAAAAAAAAAAAATAGCTTAAGGAGCTAATAACGTTGTCCTTAAAATGCTGTTAAAATATGTAAAACTGCTTTTATTCTTGCCGAAATTAAACAAATAAGACTTTCTCCAGAAGAAAAAAATATTATCAGACATACTGTGAAAATTTCCCTGCTCTGTTAAACATCATTTAGGAAATATATATTATTAAAAAAAAAAAAAAAAATATATATATATATATATATATATATATATATATATATATATATATATATATATATATATATATATACACTGTAGGTGTATACAATTTCTTACTTTCCCACTATCCCCTCATAATAAAACAAATACAATTTATAAATTAACAAGAAGAATTGAACAAGTTTACAATAAAAAGTAATAAAATTAAAATTGAAAAGTTCGCATTAAGGAGTCAACATTTCCTTTTTCCAGCTATTTACTGTGTATTAGAGCTGATATCAACTGAAGAGGGTAAGCCT